TCCCTCTTTCTGTACCTCCCCTGCTCACTCTCTCTCTCTCTCTCTCTCTCTCTCATAGAAATAAATTAAAAAAAAAGTTAAAAAAAATTTTTTAATAAATAGATACTTAATCCTGTTTTTGCAAACAAAATTCTATTAGAACTCTGTCATATCTATTAATTTACATATCATCTATAGCTTTCTTACTACAAAGGCAGTTGAATAGTTATGACAGATCATATAGCTTGCAATGTCTAAGATAATTACTATCCCACCCTTTGCTGAAAACATCCTGCTCTAGAACAAGTGATTTTCAACCCCAGGAGGATATCAACATCTCCTAGTGAGATTTTTTTTTTTTTAATCCTGAGCCTGGACTTGATCTACTCCTCATTTCCCCCCTAAAAAGATTATAATTTCGTGCTTGCTTCTGCAGCACATATACTAAAATTGGACCGATAAAGAGAAGATTAGCATGGCCCCTGCGCAAGGATGATGTGCAAATTCATGAAGCATTCCACATTTTTTTAAAGAATGTCATGTAATTTGTTTAATTAATAAATTGGAACCATAGTTTGGCTTTGATTTCCATGAAACCACAAAAATAAAGATCGTTATTCAATTTATAATATTCATGAAGTCAAAACATCTTGGTTAGAAAACAAACTTTTTTCTAGGACTTCTAACTGTAAAAGTAGTGTTTTATTTCAATTCTTCTCAGTGATGTAAATATTTATTCCTCCTCTCACCTTAAACCATCTCACCTCTTCACTCAAAATCAAGCAAAACAGGAGTGCCTGGATGGCTCAGTTGGTTGAGGGTGCCATTCAATTCTGGCTGAGGACATGATCTCCCTTCATGGGATCGAGGCCCGTGTAAGGTTCTGCACTGGCAGCACAAAGCCTGCCTGGGTTTCTCTATCCTTCCCCTGCTTGTGCTCTCTCTCTCCCTCAAAATAAATAAATAAACATTTTTTTTAAATGTTTTATTTATTTTTAGGAGAGAGAGAGAGACAGCGTGAGCAGGGGAGGGTCAGAGAGAGAGGGAGTCACAGACTGAAACAG